AGAGATTACAATCTGACAGGAGAATTCTAGTCAGGAATTCAGGAATTACATCAAAGCAAGTAAAAAATAAATTGCTAAGAGCTTCTTTTGCATAAGTGTGTAGCCATAAGTGGTTCAAAAGAAAAAGACATAAGTGTTTTTTGGTGTTTGACACGAAAAATAATAACAAACAACGATGGTTATCGTGTTATTATCTCTCTACGCGCCAGCGGAAATAAAAAATTGCGGGCGTGCCAGTGTACAGTAGTACACAAAGAAAAGGATGCGGGAAACGAGTATTTCATTAATCTCATTGGAGAAACAAAAGTACAAGATCCCGTAAAGAAAAAGTGCGCTCTGTGGCCTACTAGCGCGGCCAGCCTGACTATGGCGATTGCGGTCTCCTGATTCCCGGGGCCTCGAAAGGCTCCTGGTTAATTACTCCCGCGGGTTGCTCCACGAGATACCTCCGATTAAGCTATGTGGTCGTCTTCGTCGTCTTCGCTTCCCGTCCTCCATGCGTGATGATGGTGATGTGTGTGTGGGCAGCGGCAGAGCCCGTGTCCTCGTCGGTACACGCGCCGCAAGTGACGTGGCCTTAGCGGTGGCCGCGCCCGCCCTCGCCGTCGTGCCTCGTCGGTCTTGGCGGCGTTGGAGTAGTTGGTGTTGGGGTAGCATGGGTCGCAGTCGGCTCAGACTTCTTGATGACCTGTTGCTTCATCGGGGTGTTCAAGCAGCTACTCCTTGCACGAGTAACGGTTTGGGGAGACCGGCGTCAATGTAAAAAAACCCAACGCATGCTCACATGGGCGTGCCCGGGGTGGTTGGCACCTCGTCTCGGCTAGACGCCGAGTATTCGGCGGTCCGCCAAGACAAAGGGGCCGCCTCACGGGGCCGTGGAAAGTGGTATCGCAGAGGCCGCATCGCCTTGGGCTGGTACTACGCGAAAGAGTGACCTGTGCGCCGGCGATGCCATGGACCTGTACGCCGAGGAACTGCCGGCCATGGTGGGTGCGCCTCTCGAAGGAGGGACCGGTCTTGTACAGAGTCGTTGCAATCTTTGGTTTGGTGAAGGATCTGTACGCCATTGACCTGTTCGTCGAGGACGCGGGCCTTATGAAGGAGGAACCGGTCTTAGATCCGTCGTTGCGGATATTGGTTCCACCGAGGACCTGTACACTGTGAAGGGGAAGGCGAGTCTCGGGTTGTGTCGTCAGCGAGCTCCGGTTGCACCACTTCGTCTCCTCCAAGAGCGTGATGCAAAACCTGTACGCCGGTGTACCCTTTGCCATGAACCTGTTCACCGTGGCCCTGTTCATGGCAATCTGTGCGTCGCGACCTGTACGCCATGAGGTGTTCACCGAGCACCATGAAGGCCGCCATGGTAAGGGCGCCGGTGCTAGCGGTTGGGCAGCGTCGTTGGCGAGCTCTGGGAGCTCCCGAGTCATCTCGGGCCAGGAACATGACACCTGAAAATAAAAGGCTTGGCATAGACGATCTTCGGCGGTGTCGGTGTAGTTTGTTGTTCCAGTGCAGTCATCTCCGGTGGCAGCGACGAGATCACACAAGTGTCGTCTCCAGAGACCGGTACGCACTCTCCGCGTAGCGCATACATGCTAGAGAGAAAGAGACAGAAGAAAATAGATGTATTAGATCAAAATCTCACCCTTCAGGAACGTGAGCTTGGTATCCATGTCGCTGGCGCCGGTGTTCTCACCCGGCTGCATTGACCTGTTGATGCGATCTGGTTTTCTGCCGGCTGCGTGCCCGCGTAGACGTATGATGGATGGGTGTGGTGCTAGCGGGTCTTCTCTCCAGACGTGCGTCTAGAGATCAGAGGATGAAAAAGCCTTGCGGCGTGATGTATATGCGTGTAATGGGCGGCAGCCTTGCGACGTACTCCCTCCGTTCGAAATTACTTGTCTCCGATATGGAGGCGACAAGTAATTTCGAACGGAGGGAGTAGCTGCGTGATCTCCGTGCCTTTTTTTTCCGTGGAAGGAGATGGGCCTTTATATAGGCAGGAGCTAGGGCTGGAGGGGGCACCGTGAGCGCCGCCGATTTTCTGTTGGGCTGAGTGCGTGGTTGCCTAGAAACCAGGCTCTCCAATCCTTATCTCTTCTTATCATGTAGAGTAGGTTGTTAGGCTGTTTAATCCACCACACAAAACAATCACGTGTACGTGGCTGGGCGTGGGCATCAGCTGACACATACGTACACGAGCGACCTGATCAATAACGTTTCGGCTACTGTGCGTCTCCACCCATTACGTACACCAGTGCATGCCTAGCTATGCCTCCTCACGCATGAAGTGCATGATGCATGTGTATAAGACTTGTAGAGTGGTAGTTCTGTACGTGAGCCCCAACTCTTGCATGTATATGCACCTTTGATTAATCAGGGGATTAGCTAGTAGCTTAGCATACGTTCGTCCTCTACTAGTCACCGTGTCCATTCTTTCTATTTCTTTTAATCTTTTTCTTACCAAGTCTAAACACATGGCCTAACTAGCAAAGTGGCCCATGTAAACATACTCAGGCAACTTTATTATGGTCGGTGACAAAATTTCATCGAATATTTAGACTAAATAATTATCCTTGCGTTGTAATGGGATATAAATATTTTAGTAGGTTTTCCGTGATTTACTTGGTCATATTAATATGAATCTTAAAATGAATGTTTACAAAATCCTGCCCGTAATTTATTCACCTACATAAATTTGAAGGTTTTAGTTGGTGAGAACTTATTGGCTTACCCAAAGAAGCATAAATTTACCTACTACGTCAATAAAAGTTAGGACATTTAAGGTGGTTTTTCAAGTAAGATCTGTGAAAGAAAACAGATAAGAGGGAAACAAAATCAGAAGGGAGAGAGGGAGGCGGGAGGTACGTAAGGTTGGACAAAGGACGAGGTGGGTGACAGAATATTAAGTTATATTTAAGTAGGAGAGAAGATATATTTTGTAATCACTTATTTGATAAGAACTTATTGCCTTAAAAACATAATTTTACCCGAAAACCCAATAAAATGAGTGACAATTGGGGCGGTTGTCAAGGACAAACGAATGAAAAAGACCAGAGATAGCAGGGAAATAAAGTCAAAATGCAGAAATGAAGGGGGAACATACGTAAAATTTGATGAAGGACGGCAGTAGAAGAGAAGATTTTTTTTTTCTTCTCCTGGAGGAGCCTTCCTTCAGTACTTTTGGACGAGTAGATGCCCTCTGACTTACTCCCTCCGTCCGTGAATAAGTGTACATCTAGATTTTGTATTAAGTCAAAGTTTTAAAACTTTGACCAACTTTATAGAAAAAGTAACAGCATTTATGACACCAAATTAGTATCCTAGATTCGTTTTGAAATGTACTTTCATAATATACCAATTTGATGTCATATATGCAACTACTCTTTTCTATAAATTTGATCAAAATTTTAAAACTTTGACTTAAAATAAAAGCTAGATGTACACTTATTCGGGACGGAGGGAGTATACAGTAGGCAACTATGGGGAGACATGTTTCATCCATGTTCTTCCTCAAGTAACTACTTGTGAATGACATATAGATCTTTCTGCTGGAACAAGTCAATCTCAGACCAGCAAGAATGAGACAGAGATGGAGACAACACAATTTGTTGTCATTCTTGTGACCACTATACATATGCAGAGTAATAGACTTTAATTCGTCTTATGCGGCGAATATTTACTTGGATTGCTATAAAGCTAGGGCAGCGATATACATCAGACGTTAGCTCAGGGATAACTCGAGCGAATGATCGTTCTTCCAGGCAGGAGTAATGAATGAATGTTTTGTTCGCTCGAAAACCCATCCACAACGCCCGTTCCAGAATTACCATGCGAGAACAGGTAAAATTGTCATGTTGTTGTAGAGGATTTGACATATTTTAAACTAAAATTACCATGCTAAGGAATCGCCATGCCAACCGAAGGGAATTGTTGTGCTACATCAACAGAAAAAGCTGAAAATTGTTATGCTTTAGAAACTAAAATTGCCATCCCAAAATGTTAGTTCAAATTGCCATCCAAGCAAAAAAAAAAAAATGCCACCAGCTCCTAGTTCGCTCAGAGGAATACATAAGAGGAATACATAAGAGCGAACCCTATAAGATTCAAGACCCAAAGTGCGTGAGGGCGTTCTCATGAATTGCTTAAAAATCTAGAAGCCATCTGCTTGTAGTTCGCTCAGAAGAGTGCATGGGAGTGAGTGCTTTAGGATTCGTGCTCAGCAGAGTACATGGGAGTGAGTGCTTTAGGATTCATGCATAGGATCCGATGTGCGAGAGGTTTTCCGTGTTCACATGAATTACTTGAAAATCTGAGTGAGTTTGTCGCACTATCAGCTTTACAACAGTTTGAGTACGGTACTCGTAGCTAGACATTTAGATGTAATTTCTACTTTTAGTGTTTGTTGTACTACATTGACAGTTGATGGATAAATCGGAAAAAAGAAGTCCCTCAAAAGATGATTGCACTGCTGCGCTTTAGACCTGATTTATTCCTCCCAAGCTTGTAAACGATGCACGCAGGAGTAGGATTTCTGAGAAAGGAACATCTCTATTTTCTTTAGGAACAGAACATCTCTATTTCTGTCTCTAGCGTCCCTAATGTTTCTCGTTTGTAACTTACGTATCACAAAAAGTTTGATGTGACAGCCGTTGAAAATAACGGAGGAGATATACCGTTGAAGATGCTCTTAGCAATCGCGCACGAATCTATAGATGCTATGTTCTGCCTGCACCAACGATACGTGATCTAAAAGATATTTTCGGGACTCGTTCTTCAATTGAAGGAGTATTCGCTAATTTACTGCCGAATGCGAGTCTGGTGGCAACAAGCTGATCTTTGCTGATCACGGAGATATTTTGCAGATCTTTGCTTAATTTGACGAAAGTCATCGAGACAAAGTGGAATGAAATCATCATATTTGCTCTCATTATTGTGACGAACGCAGAGTACAGGCATGCGGATGCAGACTGCACAGCAGGGCTAGATGGAGCTCATGCCTAGGCGGTGGCCTCCTCGGTCTTGGCGGAGCCGCCGAAGAAGTCGCTGAGGGTGGGCAGCTTGAACTCGCCGGCGGTGTCGAGCGGGATGGTGAAGTTGCCGATGATGGGGAGGTCGATGGTGAGCTTGACGAGGAGCTCGTAGTCGATGTCCCAGTCCCTCCCCAGGTCCTTCATGAGCGAGATGAGGAAGTCGTAGGGCACCTTGGCCGGCACCTCCAGCTTGGTGACCTCGCCGCTGTCCTCGATCCAGCCCGGGTCCGGGATCGTGCCGCTCGCCACCTCCCTGTTGTTATACAGGATCGCGCCGTCAGACTCAGATCCATGGATGGATGGATCTCATCCTCATCGTGCAAATGAGAGGAGGAAGAAGAAGGTGAAGATGGGGGGTGGAACTTACTTGCCGCCGCACTTGAGGTTGAAGGAGATGTCGCAGATGGGGATGCGGTGGGAGTAGGGGTTGGTGACGTTGACGTGGCTGTGCACGGTGATGGCCTCGCGGGTCATGCCCTTGAAGGTCACCTTGTCCAGCGACGCCTCCGGCTTGGGCATGTGCGCGATCTTGTCGGCGACGAACCCCTTGGCCTTGTCCATCAGGCTCGCCATGGCCGGCAACCCCAAGCTTCTTCCTCCCCTCCTCTGGTCTCTTCCGCTTCTTCCTAGCTCGATCGCTCAGCCTCGCGGGTGATGGATGAAGCACGCCAAGGAAACATCGCGGTGCGCCTGTTTATAGGTGGGCGCAGGAGGAGCAGAGCGCGGTGCCGACCGCGGACGGCGCCGCGGCGTGGGCACCACGTGCAGAGGCGCGTAGAATCCGAGTGCGATTTTTAAGAGTTTTGCTAGTACCACTACGTGCGACTTGGCGATATTTCGCGACGCCGACGCGTGGTTGAAGTTTCTGGGTTGGGTTGCGTTGCGTTGCGTGCATGGGTTGGCGCTGCGGCGGGGGGAATTTGATAACGGGAAAGGGAAAGGCACGAACGAAGCTTCGGCTGTGTGCATGCGCGCGACCCCACGCGGCGCGAATCCCCGGATGGACGGTGCTGAGTCGGCATCTCCTTTCGTCCTTTTCTCCCGGCTGCACTGCACCGATCGCATCGCGCCGACCAACTGACATCAAGTCCAAGTGCTCTTTGTTTCTTTATAGGGACCAAGTGCTCTTTGTTTATAGTAGTATATTCGAACACACAAGTACTCATTTTTTTCAGAATAGCAGTGTGCATAAAAAAACACAGCATTTCGGTAAGCACGTTTTCTATACTAGCTATTTGCCCGTGCGCTGCAGCGAGGCATATCTATTTTAGTGGTTCAATATCACTACACCACGCACCAGAATTTCTACCGACGTTTGTTGGAAAAAGGTCACTATTGGCGACCCATAGTCAGCCATGAAAATTTCTAACGGACTGTGGGTCGGGAAAACTCTGTACGGTGACCTGCGGTCGGTCGGGAATACTACCACGTGTACCGTCCAAGTGTCGGTTGGGAATTCTTTTATGGCCCATGGACCATCGGTCCGTAAATAACCCCGACCAACCGTGCGATGCTATGGGCCTTTGGGGCGCGAACAGCCAATTTTTCAGCGCGAATAGCCGGCCCAACCCGTGAACTTTTCTCCCAAAATCAATAGACAGTCACACCGCGCACACGTCAGCCAAATCCCTAGCTTTCCTTCGTACGCATTCATTCCCCACGCCGGTCAATCTCCACGCCGCCGCCTCCACACCGGCCGATCTCCGCGCTGCCGCCTCCACGCCGGTCAATCTCCACGCCTCCGCCCCCCACGCCGGTCGATCCGCACGCCTCCCACCGCCGCCCGACGCCGACCGGGGCTTCCTCCAATCGATCCCCACCCCGTCCCACCGCCGCCCAACGCCATCGATCTTGCCCCTCCGGCCGTGGTGAAGCACTCCCCGGAGGCGCTGCTGCTCGTGGTGTCCAACCTCGTCGACGTCCTCACCTACCTCGCCTTGAAACTTCCAGGGTTGTGTTCAAGGTGAGCGGCGTCATCTGCTCCGGTACCAACCTCGATGTCTCCAGGATCTGGTTCCTCATCAACGAGCCCTCCTCCATTCAACGCGCAGGACGTGCAAGTAACTTACTAGGCCCGGATCCATCCATGAATCCATTGGCCTCTTGCTCCCCGGATGAAAATTTCTCAGGTTCATAGAGATACTTTACGAGTATTTGTTTTTTAAGAAAGTCTAACTTGTTACTAATCTGTTCGATGGTTTCCAGAAGAAGGGAGCATATGTAACAAGCCTTCTAGATACTCTTCATGTTACTGATTTTCTCATAGAAAATTCTTCATTGCCATATATATTTTCTGTTGACATATCATTAAGCATCAGTACTGTATTTTGATTCTTTTTCTCGATTATAGAAGATGTTATTTGTCCAGCCTATACTCATGTTTAATTTCCCCATAGTTTGCTTCCTTATTTTCTTTCCCATGTAATTATTATGTGGCTATTCTACATTCTGCGTAGTACTAATCAGATTCAAGGCAGTAGTTATATCGTTGATTAGTTGTTGCAATTTCTGCTACATATATATGTAGATTTGTGAAAGTATTTCTAAACATGTTACCAGGTTTAATGGAAGAAATCCTACAAATGAAATAAGAATAATGTTAGGTAAGGTGTCGGGGGTGTCCTGCCTCCTCTGTTCAATTTACACTGCTTCCAGTGTCCTCACATAATAAATCTAAATTAAATAAAGTCGATATATTATTATATCTTCTGGACCAAATGATCTCCGTGTTATGAATATTTATCTACAATAGTATGTCCTTAATCAAAATTCCATGTATATTAAATGATGGGAGTAGTAGAATCTTTGTTGCAGTGTTTTATAGTTTCATTTATCAGAGACAATACTGCTTGAAAGTATTCTAATTCCACCTAGGGTGAATGAATTTTAATCAGGAGTGTTGTGCTGCAGGATTCCCAGCCCACCCCAGCATCCCCTTCAACCCCGAACCGGTTTACTGTTGCGCCTCTGCAACCTTACAGGCCGCCACAGTCGATGCAGCAGCTAGCAGCAGGGCCCATTGTCGTACTCGCGCATCCCAGGTTCATCTGCTTGCTGCTGTTTCGGCCATCGCTGGGTCCATAGTTACTGTACACCTTCTACTCAATATTTGACAGAGTAACAAAAGATGGTTGACAAATATGTTGCTCTGAACCTTGGCTTATTAATTGGCGGAGCTTTGACAGGGCGAACCTGGGCACCCCAGGTCATTTACTTAGAAGATGAGCACTCCACCAAGCTGTTTGTAGTAAACAACTTTGGCGATGCTCACGACAGGCAGTGACGCTATGTGATGGTGTCGAGCGTTGGGTAGGAAAGCAGAACATCATCAACTCTGCCTCACCTCTTCCACTAGTGTTGTCCGATGGTAATTTTACTTGTATCCTTCCTATTGATGTACTGTAGTGTAGTCTGATTCTTTTGATTTTGCTTTTTTATTAGTTTTGATTCATGTTGGGAAAAGTTCTAATTAGCTCATACGATTTTGCACTAAATGGAAAGGTAAAACTATGTGGTTAAGTAGTATTTTGGTACTTCCTCAAAAGAAGGTTGTATTTTGGTAGTACTCTGTTTTGGAGAAGCTTTTATATGTAATTGGTGTTAGAAATGTATTCTGTAAGCAGATAGGATCAATATGCTTAACATGATACAAATTGCAACTTGTGGTCATACTTTGGTATTTCAAAAATAAAATCATATCATTTTGTAGCCCCCCTCCCCCCTGAAATTTTGTTCTGATTTTGAAAAATAGGAAACCTAGAGAGGCTAGAGTTTGTGCAATGTAACTGCTAATATGTGCTCTGAGAAGTGTTCCAGAAGCAGATGCAGAATATTAACTCGGGATTTTTACTTGCAGATGTTCAAGCTGGAGGATGTTCTGCAATGAGATGTAGAATGAAGGCTTTGATGTCAAGTACGAGAACGATGCAAGGATGTTGGTGGAAGGCTGTGAGGATGGGTATGTAGTTGCCCACTACAAGGAGCCAAGGCAGATGATGTGCCTCTTAGAAAAATTCCAGTAAACAACACTAGGAATTTTTGCTCTCAGACAATGAACCATAATGTCTCCTCTATTTCATTAGTTACATCAGTTAATAGGAAACTTGGATGGCCATTGGTTCATAACATATGCACTATTTATATGTAAAAATTAATGAATGTGTGTTATAATTGTTTGGTTCTGATATATTATTCTTGGTCGACATGAATGTTACTGTTGTGAATTATGTAACTTGATTGATGTTCTGATGGTAAAGTGAAATGTAGCTATGTGAGGGGAAACAGAAGATTGTCCATCGTCTGGGAAAGGCCCATGAGGCCCAACGGTATGTTGGTTGGGAAAGATTACCCTGTCTCGTAGTCGGTCGGAAAAGGTCCATGGTAGCCTTGTCAGATAGTCGGTCGGGAAAGATTACCCTATCAGATGGTCGGTCGGGAAAAGCCCATGACAGCCCCAATAGACTGTCGGTCGGGAAAGGCCCGTGGTAGGCCCAACAGATTGTTGGTCGGGAAAGATACTCCTTGGCCAACAAGCAGTCGGTCGGGAAAGATATGTCGGTCGGGAAAGGGCTTTCCCGTATGGACTTTCTCCAACAGACCTTGTTGGTCGGCAATACTTTTTCCCGACCGACTGTTTGTTGTTATAACTTGTATTCCCAGCCAACTTGGCTGTCGGGGATGCAGTGTTGTGGTGTAGTGTATCAACTTTGTATGATATAACTTACACGTATCAAATTCTAGATTTTGATAAGATTTAATTTGATTTGAATATGGGTAGGTGAAAACAAGTAAAGTTTTGATTTGGTTGATGTTTTGATATGATTTGATTGGGGTATGACTATCGAAAGGCAATTTTTGATTTAGTTGAGATTTTGGTAAGATTTGATTTGATTTAATTGAGTAAATGCATCACATGGTTTTGATGAAATGTTGATTTGGTTTAGATTCTAAGTTACTCTATTTATATTGGTTTTTATTTTTATGCGGCATGTGTTGAAATTACCAAAAGAATCAACAAGAAACCAAAGGAGAGAGGACCTAGGGTGGAAAACCAGAGGAGAAGGTGAGGTGAACTATCAACTCCCCTTTAAAAATAGGCTTACAAGTTGACTATAAACAACCACCACAGGTGAGGCTAGATTTTGAAAACCAATGTATTCCCTTTTTTTGGAAACCCCAATAAAAAGACACCAATCCCTTGTAAATTTATTTATCGCTTTGTAGGAGCGGCAGTGGAGTCGCTATATACCTCAAAACTTTATAAAAACAACTCTAGCATATAATATCAAATGTCATCCGTCATATGAAACATGCTCCATAATAATAATATGAAGACTGGAGAGGCGATGCGCAAACTCAAAGCCGCCATAAACATAGTCTCCAACATTTTCTTACATGTAGCTCCCACTTGTTATTAACTACAACGTTTTCCTCCAATTTCACACCTAGAGCTACAGTTCAAAAGCACAATTTGCTAGTATTACTCACAAAAAACACAGACTCCAGCATGGCAAATGAAGGTTCAAGCTTGATTTTAAAATTATATTAAGCATACAGTGGAGCATCTAAAGATT